ATTAAACAAATTCCGCCACCAACTAATTAAAACTTTGGTGATGTGTTCATTTCGTAAGTGGTAACCAGGAACATAATTGAGCGATACAATTTCTTCTTCAGAAGAAGTTTGTTCTGAATTGTTTTTTCTTCAAAAATTTCTCCTCCAATGCCTTCCACAATCTGTTTCAGAAGTTTTCTTTCGAGAAAAGAATAATTTTTGCTCTCTAGAAAGACCAACCGACCGAATTGTAGGATTGTACCACATGCCAGACGATTGATGGTCCTCTATTCACTCTCCTCCATCTCGTTTGGTTTCTCCTCTTCAATAGCAACATCTAGACCTTGCTGAAAGAGAGCGTCTAGAAGTTCACTCTGCCACATGCCGAAATGACCGGTGCATCGAAAATCTCCACTGTAAATCTTGCATTTGGTATAGCATTTCTTACTAAGGTTGATGCTGTAGCAGGTGTGGTATTTTTCTTTCCGTCCACCATTTCTGCTTTAAATATTTAATAGCTATAAAATCAATTTTCAAAATGCGGAACACAACCAAGGAACCTTTTTTATGTGGCAGATCAGACTATGTTGCCACCAGAGTGAATACTTAGTAACCTTGGCTCTGATACCAATTGTTGTGGAAATTGGGCTTTGTCCACCGAATTTAAAACAATTTGTGAATTATTGTACTGAGTAACTACACCACGTAAATTCCCGGATAAGTGGAGGAGTCACAAACTGTCTCAGTTAAAATCCACTTGCCTTGGACTAAATTTGTGTCGTTGATAGAATTTACTTAGACATGTAATTAATCTGACAATAACCACCAAAATATTTTTGCCCAACAATAGCTATTAAATAAATAAAGACAAAGCAATAAATAAGAGAGAACACCAGAATTTTAACGAGGTTCGGCCAGTTTTGCCTACGTCCTCGGACACTACCAAATTTATATTTCACTGAAGATTAATATTCACCTGAAGAAAATAACAAATTGAGAGAGGTAGAGAAAACTGTCCTAACCCCACAGGTATTGGAGACAAGTTGGGAACACTAAAATTGAAGGAGGTAGGCTCCTTATAGACATCTAAAATTGAAGGAGGTAGGCTCCTTATATAGAGGAGAGGCCACCCTCTCTCTTGCTAAAATCCCGATGTGGGATTGAGCCACCAAACCAACATCTTGAATGTTAATCCTGCACTAATTTTCCAAATAGGCTTTCCCCATCCAAAATCACCTTCGCATAGCTGGAATTTCCTTACGCTAGTAAACCTATATATATCCAAATCTTTTAGAGCAAATTCTATTATTTGCTTAAGAATATCCTCTAACACTAAGCTCCCATTTTCACTGCGCAATCTTGACATAACTAGTGTCAAAATTTTTCAAAGCATTTCGTACCTGATACACCAAACCTTGAATCTCAATCTTGCTATTGCCATCACTCGGCACCAGCGCAATTGCCAGCCAAAGAAGATTTTCGGCTGTGGATACTGGTGACGGTGGATCCAATCATCGAGCTCCTTTAAAAAAAAAAAAAAAAAGAAAACAAGGAGAAATCCTTGCTGGTTTTAGTGTGGTAGATGTGTACGGACTTAGATAGAGAGGGGGTTTGAGCTTTCTCGAGTTGAGGGAAATCAATTCGTCATTCCCTTATAAACTCTGTAATTTCCCCTAAATTAGAAAGCTTTTGTACCGAGAGCCAATATTTTCTTTTCCTATGTTTTTAATGGGTAAATTGGTCGGAAATGTAAGGGGCAAAAATTAGAGATATCATGGTTTATTTTAAAAATATAAGGAAAAGTTATATTTATAACAAATTATAGGGAAAATTATAATTTTTCCTAAATTAAAAATCTTATTACTATATGTATTATGATTTATTTATTTAAATTGTTTAAATCAATAAAAGTTACATATATATTTTAATTATAATTTATTAATATTTAAAATAAATAATTATAATTTATTTATTTATGACCTAGGATTTTCATATAAGATTTAAGAGACACTATACAATATGTGATTGTTCATAACCACAAAACTAAGTATAGAACCTAAGATAAATAACATCATTATACACTCTAATCTCTTAACCGTATACAATAATTTTAGAGTTTTTCGATTATCCATTTGTGTGGATATTACTAGAGGTCGGACAATTGAACGGCTTGTGGTTTGTGACAACATAGCCACGTAAATCGAAGTTTTGAAAAATTTGCAAAATAAATATTCTTCTAAACAATTTTATTGATTTAATCGTTTAAACGGATCCTTATTGGATAATTATTTTGTTATAATTATCTTATTCCTCTGCATATACCTTACTCTTTATTTTACTACTCAGTTATAAATTAGTGCATTTACGAATATTGGCTATTAACTAACTGTGAACCCCTCCCCCAAAAGGTCAGAATGCAATGTGAATGCATGTGACTAAGGAAGAAATGCACGTGATGTGTGAGTCGCCACCTTGTTTAATGTGAGTCCGCCACCTTGTTTAATTATTTTAGGTAACTAGGAAAAAAACCCTAAGTGACTCAATTTTTACATTAACCTAGTTACTAAGTTATTAACCCAAGTTCTAAGGCATGTCTTCGAACCCTGAGTGATCCCGAGACTATGTCAGCGATGAAACTAAACCAAAAAATGAATGCTTTTGCAAAGATGATTGGACCAAATGGAATGTTTAAGTGAGTTTGAAATGATTGCGACTTTGCCCCGCTCGGGGTTTTAAATCCCGAACGTGCCTACCGTACTTTCCGTTGAATGGAAGATCAAAGTCAACGTAGTTCGATGGGCGCTTCTTTGAAGGGCTTTGAATTGGGTTATGCTTTATGCATGAAGTGTGTGTATGCTTTGTGCATTTTGTTTAGGCAATTTGCCTGAAGATTGATTGATTTGGAATTTTAAGGCAATTTGAATGCCAAATGTTGATTTTAAATGGCTTTTAGCCAAAAGATTGATTTAGGCATTTGGCATGCCAAAATGTTGATTTTAATGGCTTTTAGCCAAAAAAGATTGATTTAGGCATTTTTTGCCAAAAGTTTGGATGTGATTTAGGCAAATTTAATTGCCAAAAATTGGTTTAGGCGATTTGTCGCCAAAAATGATTAAGTTGCATTTGTGCCAAAAGTTAGTATTTGAAGCTTTTTAGACCAAAAAGGTTTAGGCAATTGATTGCCAAAATGAATTGATTTTTAGGCGATTGTCGCCAAAAATGAAATGATTAGAGGCTTTAAAGCCCAAAAAGATTGATTTAGTTAGGCATTTTGCCAAAACTTTGATTTTAAGAAGTTTTATTGTTAAAAAGATGAACTAATCTTTACTTAAATTGGCCAATTTATTTGCCAAAAGTGATCAATTGAATTGCAATAGATGCAATTTAGTGCCAAGAAAAATGTGTTTAATTAAGGCTACTTAGTCACAATTATTGATTAATTGGACTTAAGCCGGTATGTTCGAAATAAAGGCACTTATACCATAGTTATCAATTAACTAGGCTTTTTAGCCAATATTGTCGGATTTAGGCTTTAACACCACGATTATTAATTAGCCGGGCGTTTAAGCTTAAACAATGTTTAATTGAGGCAGTTTATTTGCCAAAGTTGATGTCATGAATGCAGTTGTAGAATTAGGAGTAGAAGAGAAATTAAAAGGAGTAGAAGAGAAGCATGCATGATCTAAAATAAAATAGGCCAGAGTTTTATTTACGTACCTGATTTAATCGTCGAACCGCTCTTTAACTCCAGTTAAGCTCCTCGTTAAGGGAATTTAATTTTTAATTTAAATTTTAAGTGACCAAGTATCAACAACAATAAAAATAAAATTAAAATTAAAAAAAGAAAAATGCAAAGAAAGCAGTAAAGAAATCGCAAAGAGCGTAGGGGAATCGTCGACCGCTTCTTAACTCTAGGTTAAGCTCCTCGTTAAGGGAATTTTAATTAATTTAATTTTAGTGACCACTTAACAAAGCAAGAAAGCGACAAAACTAAATTAAAATGCAAGAAAGCAGTAAAGAATCGCAAAGAGCGTAGGGGAGAAGGAGCGTCCGTCAACACAGACTAAGTGAGGAAAACAGAAGGCCCAGGGCCACTATTTATAGGCGAAAAATCGGCCTGTTTCGGCGGCTGCGCCGCCGGCATCCGGCGACGGGGCCGCCAGGGGCCGGCGGCTGGGCCGCCGAGGGCACGCGGCCTGGGCCGCCGGTGGCTCTGGCTATGCCACTTTTTGTTCCGGAGGCTTTTTCGGGAGCTCCGGACTTCCAAAAAAAATTCCGGGACCAGTTCCGTGATCCTCGCGACGCCCTGGACGTTTCAAGTACCATATTGGCATACTTCCGGTGAACTTCCAAAATGGCCTCCGGTCCGGCCGGACTGTTTGCAGTCCATCGGAGGAATTGGCTCTTTGAGCCTCCAAAATTTAGGTATTCACAGGCGCGGCGATAGCGGCTATCGCCGCCCTTAAGGGCAGCTGGCACCGCCGCGGCCGGGAAAACTGGCTTTTTGAGCCTCAAAATTTGAGTATTCACACTAACAAGTAAACTTGTTCGTGAGCTTATCATACGGCGTACCCAAATCGATTCACGAGCTTATAAATGAGATAGCTTATGAATGTTACCGAACTGAATTACTCCATGCTCAAAATTGATTTCGTTGTTTAAATGAGTTGTAAAATTTCATTTTAAACTTAGTTTGTGTGGGTCCCGAATATATATGGCACAACCCAAGAGGGGGGGTGAATTGGGTTTTCTAAAAAACTGAAATAAATTTTAGAAATGAGGGCTTTTTGAAAAGAGATTTTGCCTCTTAGAAGGACTTAAAAAGATATCTTGCGCTCTTAGAGGACTTTGAAAAGAGGTTTTGGCCTCTTAATGAGGGGTTAATGAGGGCTTGAAAAGAGATTTTTGCCTCTTAATGAGGGTTTGAAAAGAGGTTTTGCCTCTTAGAGGACTTGAAAAGAGATTTGTCTGCTACAAAAACCACACATGAATTACAGGAATTACAGGCAGACGCACTGATCTTGGCCGAGCGGATCCTTAAGGTGACAGGTCCTTTTACACCACCTGCAACAGCTACCAAAGAAAAAGGAATAGACACTTTCAATGGCTTTTTCATGACCCGAACCTGAAGCCACACAACCCACAATAAGACACGAAAAGGCGTAAATAGTAGTTTCAGATCCTTCTTGCTAATCACCAAAACAAGAAAACCATACCAGTCAGAAGATCAATTCAATGGACAGTTCGAAGTTGCAAGCTACACGACCATTACAAGATCTATTCAGAAATACATATTCACAACATGTCTAGTAACAATATTGTGGAAATATAACTAGCATATGAAGGAAAGCTGAGAGATCTATTATTACACAAACCTGATATCTACACGTCCCTATTTGAGTCAAGCCCTGAAACCACCATCTGAAAATAGATCGGAAAACGATCCATTCAACAGCGAAAGCCACAATCCTTGAGAAGAAGCCATTAAGAGGAGATCTGAACCAGAAAAGTTAGGCAGAGCTTGTAGAAAGAGAAGGAAAGAAATACGATAAGATATGGAAGAGAAGGTGTGGCTGTAATATCATTATATAGCGGCAGTGAAGAAATGGACGAACATGATTAATAGACGTTTGGAAAAATCGATGGATAAGAAACAACCAACGTGGCTGAGTTGTCGGCTTGTTTGTTGCCTTATTTGACATTGACATTGGGCGGTTGGTACAAAATGACGGCCTACCACCCCCAAAGCATGAGCTGCGCTACCAGATAATTTTCATAGCGTTACGTTTACGCATGTTTGACTAGTCAAACCGGCATTTATGTCAGGTTTTTTGTATGGCTAATTTTCACTGTATGGTCACCGTTACCGATTACCATTTACGTTACCGATTACATTAGCGATCCTAATTTCTAATTTGTTACTATATTAACTTTAATTGAGGCTTCAGTGAAAGGAATGAGGAAGAAATTTTGGGTTCAAATCTTATTAAACACATCTATAGAGAAGGACAAAGAGCTTTAATTGTGATTAAATTTAAGTTAAATTTAATCGTCCCTTATAATAGAATCCAAAAAATAGTGATTTACACAAATTTTAATTGATGTTTCAATAAAAGGAATCTATTAGGTTTTCTATTAGAGAATTAACGAAATGCTGACGTGCAAATGAGAATGATTGTGGTAGTAAAAAGTAAACTACATCAGTTCTGTCTAATCAACTTCTTGACTCCAAATCATCCTCTCCTATTTTCTCTATTGCCTTATTATCCCTTCGATCGTCGTTCTAAAAAAAGCATTAATTTGATTAAATTTTACTTTTTTGTAATCCATTCTTGTGAGACTGAATATTGTATTTCTCCTATTCACACATGGACAAAGGAGTATTCAACCTTTTATAGACATGGAGGACCAGAGCAAGTTCTTTTTCGAACAGGCTTTCTTCAAAGTTAGAATCCGATACATTTTCTTTATTCAGTGCTCGGAGGTTTAAATTACGATCATCTGTTAATTTTTTGAGGTTGGTTGTATTGTTCCTGCAGATCTACTTTTAGACTCCTTGGATTCTGTCAAAGTCTTGCCGTTGGTATACTTGAGGTATTAATGCATTTGGTTGTGAAGAAATCACAGAGAGTTGCATCCGAGTACCTAGAGGGTTTTCCTTGGGAGGATAAGAAAGAGGAAGAAATCATGTTATATATATAAAGAAAACCTAGCGTTATGACCTATTTCTCTAGGCCCAAACTAGTACTAGATGGGTAAGTTTAAAATCTCCAAACCCCCTAGTCACTTAACATATTCACTCAGATACATTAACAACTCGATTTCATACTACAATTGGCCCTAAAGATTTCACCGGTCAAGCAATATATGTTCAAGCAATATATGTAATAATGCAATAATTAATAAATATAGGACTATTCAACCCAAATCTAATTTCTCAATTCCATGTCATGATGTACCTATTTAACAATTCACATTATTACTAATACTTCAAATATTACAAGTCATATATATTACAATCGTAGAAATTCTAATAACTTTTTACAGTCTAACAAGATATGGATTCCCAAGGGAAAATTCCTAGCAAATTTTGATAGAAAATCAACGCTATGGTTGGCTTTTCTATATAGATGAGAAATATTACAGTTCCATCACTGTGCATGAGGTTCTTGATAGCAATAACCAACTGAAAAACACCACCATTTGAGATCAAATTACCTCTACAAGTTGGACAACAATAGAGTTATCACACTCTATTATGAGGTACTAAGTTTCTAAGCTTTAAGTCATCTTAAGCCTCTTTACATAGCCCAAAGTTTTGCCTCCAGTACTGAATAAGTACCAACTCTAGTAACAAAGCCTTGAATCCATATACTTGTGTAGTCACTTAGTAAACCACCTTCACAGGTTAGGCTATCCATAAGAGAATCATTTGTGTTGAGTTTGTAAAAAAGGCAAAGAAGAAGGAGACCAAGAAATCCATAACTCTTTTTTTTTAGCAGAATTATTACTTGGGTTTGAAACCACCATATCAACCATGAAAAAATCCTTAGCAGAAGAGAGGATGTCAAGCACCACCATCGTGATTAGCGAGAGCTCACTATTAAAACCCTTAAATTCTGATGCTTCCATAACTTCCAGCAAGCCACACAAAAAATAATGGCCCAAAGCGTCCCAGAACTGTGGATTACTTTGCTTTTCAAATTGTTAAGGAACCAAATATTAAACGGGATCACAGGGTCATAGAAAGAAACCATATTGGAGCTTAAATACCAGCCCATACTTGACTAACATAAACACAATATCTAAAACCATAGTGATAGGTCTCATACATACGTATGCACATCATCGTATGCACATCATACAATATGGCTCTCCATTTAGATATCTTTTCATTCGTTCAACATTGGTTAGAAGCTTATTATGAAAAGTTTAACCACAGAAATAGTCGAATCTGCTGAGATCCATGCCAACGCCAAATAAAAGACCAATCCCCAAGACTTTCAATGTTAATATGCATGTTAACCATTAATAGGCAAATTTGAATGAAAATTGGCTTGAGCTCATGAAACGCCAACAAATCTAATTAGGACCATGTCCAATAGATGGAGGAAGACAACAATTATACAAGTGAGAATTGAATTCGAAAGAAAAGAGGAAATTCTAAGTCAATTCCAATTCCTATTCTCAAGATAATCAGCAATACAATCATCCATAAGATCAATAGGAACTTCTAGTATAGCCACCTCGTAAAGAATCACACCCTCTATGAGCCAGTGATACTGCCAAAACTTGACTGAGAGACCATTGCCTACCGAGTACATTAGATCCTAAAGCATCGTCCAAGTATCAATAATATCATTAGCAAGAAGGGAAGCTTTCTAAGGAGTATTAGCCTACGGAACCTGATAGGTCTTATATTTTATAGTTTAATTTTTATTAGGATTTTTAAAAATTTTTTAATTACTTTGGATAATTTTGTTTAGATTTATTTATGTTTTTTAATTAAGGTTTTCATTTATGTTTTTAATTAAGTTTTCTTGATTCTTGATAAGCTTGATTTGAAGGGTTTTTAGCAGGAAAATAGCCAAAATTTGCATCAAAGAAGGTTGGAGTCGAAAAATGAAGATTAAAAGCTCAACATGACCAAGTCAGTAAAAAACACGTGTCTCCAAGAAAGCTGAAAATTCAAGTAGACTGAATTTAATTGTTTAGCCCTTGTAGATTTGAAGCCTAAGCGTGCTTATGCATGGAGCTACATGGGAATGATAGAAGACTTACCTTGTTTGAGTTCCGGCCCTATTTTATGAAAAGAGGACTCCTAATTAGGAAGAAATATTATTTGAGTAGGAAATTTTAAGAAATACAACACAAAATAAATTTCCTACTCAAATAATATTTCTTCCTAATTAGGCCAACTAGTTTCCTACTTGAATTTGAAGACACCTACGAAGTTTATATAAAGAGAGATCACTACAACAATTCGGAGCGTGGGGAATTTGGAAGCTTGGATCTTAGATCTTTGTTCTACTTTTCTCTTAGTTTTCTTTTTTTTAAGACTTTAAGCATTCAAGTTTGTGTAAAGAATCAAGGAAGCCATCCACGCTATTCGTTGACTAGTTTTTATATCTAAACTCATAATCTTGTTTCTAATTTTCATTATTCATATTGCCTATGAAATTATTTTCAAGTTTAATTGATTTTTTTTATTTAATTATTTTATGTCGAGCTTAAAACTCTTTATGCTAAAAGATTTGATGTACTTAATTTATATTCCAATTTATAATATTAGATTTGGTTTTCCTCGTTCAAGGTATAATTTATTATTGAACTTAATGCTTTAAAGTAGAGTTTCTAACATGGATTGATTTATTTCATTAATCACTATTGGGAGAAGGGATTTTGATATGAAAAATGTAATAAACTACATGGAATAATAACTTGATGCATAAGCTATATGGTTTAACTCATGGGAGGTTTTCATATGGTTAACGACCTTATGTTATGAATTCATAAACAAACCGTAAAACATAATAATTAGATTGGGTTAAAATAGCTAATAATACATCAAGAGAGCTTATTAGTAACTTTAGAGTTGTTTCTTCTACTTGAACAATTAAAATTAATTATCAGACTAATAAAATAAATTGGATAGAATGAAGTGAAATCAAAATCCTTAGTAGCTTTTAATCCTTAATTTCTTTTCATAGATCTTGTTTGATTTCTTATTGCTTTCGTTTATTTCTTTTATTTTTCAATCTATTCTCTTTATTGTCATTTAAATAATAGTAGGTTAATATAGTTTATATTGGATTAGACCACACTCACTGAAAGCCTGAAAATCAAAACCCTATGAGCACTACATTTCAATAACGCTTGTATATTCTTGGCATTTACGATGACATTTGTTTTTTATTGGATTTCTGATATTGTGCGTAGTTCTGTGATTATATTCTGGTATTTTTTGTAACTGGTCTATCTCCTTTCTAGTTGTCGATTTAAATCAAAGGTAGGGTCCTTGTTAACCATATCTGAATAATTTTGGTACCCATGGCTACAAGACTTAAATACGGGATATAAGTTATTGACTTCAGTGAAGTTTGTGTACTTAGCAATTCCTTTTACCAGGCTCCGGGGTCGAAATTTGACAGTACTACAAGATCGGTCCGCTCTGTAGAAAAACTTAGCTAACTGAATTGCGATTTTCGTGCTGAGTAGCAGCGTACTGAGTTTGCAATTTATTTGCCGATTAAGTTTTAGCGTTACTGCCTTAGGCGACGGGGAGATTAATTCGCAAAAATGGTTGTGTAAAATTTTTGGGTGGAAGAATAAGCCAATGATCACATCAAAGTAATTACACTATTAAATTACACACCCTTTCAATTAAATCAGTTTATTTGTTCTGTACTTTAAGTTCTCTTTCACGAATACCCGAAGATTATCTCAAGGTTAGTTCACTTGTATTGGTGTTGCAAAAGAAGATCTCTCTTAGTTTTGAGTACACTAAATCTCACATAAAAAGGTTGAATTCGAAGATATGGACAGGTTTCCGACCATATGTTTGAATGACAAAAT